GCGCAAATGCCAATTCGCATTGGTCCATGGGGCGCGCCTCTCGCAGCCGTTTGTAACTTTAGATACGAGTTTTAGCATTGCTATAAATGTTTCCTTTATCTGCTAAGATCTTTTGTTTATGCATATTGACAACATCCGTAACTTTTCAAAATTATTGCTTATTCTTTTTTTTTCTTTTAGAAGCTTCACTCACTTTTGTCTTAACAGTTCAATCTGAATCAACCATGGACAATTTTAATGTGAGTTAACTCTTACTCCAATCATACGCTACTGTGCAACGAAGTGAGGTGACGATATCTTGTATTTACCTAAGGTTCTGTGACACAGTTGGCTCGTAGGAAATCGGCAAATTGCATTCTTGGAAGCTAAGCAGAAATGCTAATCGATATGGATGTTTGGAACAAAGTGCGCGTCAAAAGTGATTCAAACGCTGATCCACATTTTAGCTCTATCTTCGATGTAGATGAACCGCGCCGAAGCTCTTCCGTAACCAAAATGGGGAATCATAAGAATGAGCTTTGTATCTTCAATGGACACATTTCTATAAACTTATTCTGTATTGTTTCCAAAGAAAAAGCTTATATCAATCCTTTCAATCAGCGAACAAGAAAGCGGAGTTGGTGAAAATTTCTAAGCATTATTTCCTATAGCGCACTTCTCAGCCTCATGAGGCTAGTAGCTGCTTGATGCCGGAATAATTGGTTTCTGGTCTTACTGCGGCCCAGAACGTTTGCCGACAACGCTAAAATGGCTTATAGAAAAGTCTTAGCATGAATTGAAACTAACCATATCCCTTTCAGAATATTGAAACTGTCGAGGAAGATGAATTGCAGCTGACCAGCGGGGATGCTCCGTTTGTTTCTATTTCTGCTATTACTAGTCTGCTTTCAAATAGTCTTTCTTTTATGCTGGTTTTTTTCAGGAGTACGTCTGAAAGGCTTAGTAGTATACAATCGTTGGTCACTCGCCCTAGCAACTTCAATAAGTGCGGTAAGAATTCTTCCTATTTGTACCCAAATTAAATATGAAATAGCTAAGCAAAGTTGAATAGATTTGCTGGGTATGTAGTCCTCGTTCACTATAAAGCATACGGCTGTTATTTTTTGTATAGCAAGTGGCGTGTCCTGCTATGCTGCATCTAAGGGTAGTAAAGATCGCCGACACATAACGCTAATTGCGTGATAAAGACCTGACAATCGAGGGTGCATTGCGGTTCCATTGCGGCGCCGCAGTCAATGCCGATCTTAGCTGGATTTCGGCGCTATTATAAAACTGCCGCTTTCTTTCTTGGGGTTATTTCGAAGTCTACAGAATTTGACAGTGGTGTGCAGGGAATAGCTGAAGGGGTGGTACCCGCATTTTGATCAAACTCGATGTTTTACTTCGGCTCGCAGCGCAATCACCTCGCACCTTCGATCGGCCATCCTTATCGCGTCTTTAAGCGTGGTCAGGATCGAACATCTTCATGAAGTACGGGGATGCCCTAAAGGGAACAGTTTTTAAGTTTGAATTTCGTCCTGTGAGTTTACTCGTCATGTTGCCTTTCGGTATCGCGCGTAGTCGGGCCCAGATGTGCGACTATCGCTCAACTTTCACCCAGCTTGTGCTTTGACAATATTTTGAAAAACCTTATCCATTCTTCACGGAGGAATCCTACTGTAGGATACTATAGGTGGGCGAAAATGGTCTAAAATCACAGATCTGTTTGACTCTAGGTAGTTAGTCATACAAATTAATGTCCAGTTTGCATCATCGATTGTTATCGTAGAGTCAGAGGACTGTGATAATATCCAATTTCCCCATTTTAGCGTACTCAATAAGGGAACCAATCCTTGCATTGCTATGACTATTACACATCAATTTCAAAAGCACCATATACAGTTTTACGATCATTATAGTAAGCAACCTTCACCCTCTCTCCCTCCTTTGTCCTAAGGAAGATTTACCAACATCTGCTTACTGTAGCCCTGCAATAAGGTCTTACCGTACAGAATGGAAGTGTTCTTGCGACTAACATGTATGGATTAGCGCCATGTTCTTCAGGTACTTCTGGTGAAAGCATCAAACTTATGGCCAACTTTGTTCCGATTAGTCATAGGCCGGATGTATTGTGTACTCAGTACCATGTGGATTTTGAACCACTGGTGGACTCGAGATCGGTTCGGCATCAGATCCTCAAACAGGAGCAAATTCAGGAGCACATTGGATCCACTTTTATATTCGATGGGATGATCTTATACACCGTGAGCGATCGCAACTTTGACGTGAGTGTTCTGTAAATTTTGTAGATTACCTAAGTCTCCTTCCTTTAGCTCGGTTGGTTCTTACTACTCTGTTTATCCGAGTATAAGATCCATGACACATAAAACCGCGTGCTCACCGTGTATAAAGCCTCTCTTCCATGCTCCTTGCGCTAGTTTTTTTCCTTTCTACTGTACCTTTCAAAAACAGATTACCTATCAAAGTAAAAGTAGATGGCATCAAAATCCAAGAACTGATATCGGTACTAGTTAACAAACCAAGGTAGTCAAGTTCCGTTTTCCCATTCAACAGCAGGTTCTTGGGAATTATTAGTGAAGCAAAGCATAAATATCAGGTACGTGGCGTCTGATAATAATGTTTTACTCGCCTTTCGAATCTGATGGTAAGAGTGACGTAATTATGTGTAAGAAAGAACAAAGAAGAGCAAAACCTTCTCTATGGATGGCATTTTGCACCA